ACCTGGAGGGCGGTACTTACAGGCAGTGACGAGGCAGTCATGTGTTTGGGTTTACAACCAATGAGAAGGCAGAACAGAAAGACTATTTAAAGACAGACACACAGGAAGTAGCTCTCTTTCGGGAAGCTAGGAGCACTGCAGGAGGTAAGATTTTAGCTCTGAGCTCTGAGCTCTGGGCTTTCTCTTTTACATTGGTTCTGTGTTTTTTATTTTAATAAGATGGTTGGTTACATCTACACTTCACTGCAGAAGCACAGGGTCAGCTGGGAGGAGCCTGGGCAAGGCACAGCATTCCGAGCACCTGTCAACAGACACTCCCTCCCTTGATGTCTTTGTCTTCTTAGTGTCTCACTGATAGAGAAAAATTCATCTGCTTAGGGTTTGGTAATTGATGGTTTAAGAAACAAGGATTGGGGCCAGGTGGTGGTACAAGCCTTTAATCCCAGCACTTGAGAAGCAGAGGCAGGTGGATCTCTGAGTTCGAGGCCAGCCTGGTCCACAGAGTGAGTTCTAGGATAGCCACGGTTACACAGAGAACCCTGTTTCAGAAAACCAACCAACCAACTCAAACCAAAAACAAACACAAACAAACAAGAATTAAGATTTGGTAATTGGTGGTTGTAAGAAAGAGTTCCCAGTATCACTTGGAAAGGTATTAAGTCCCTTAGCAACTTTACTTACTATACACGCTTTCTTTGGAGCCTGACAGGGAAAGGGGAATTCTTGCCCAAAGCTATGGCCCTGAGGCAGGAGCTGTTGCTTGCCGGCAGATATAACTATCACAGCCCCCAATCCTACCTTAAATCCAGTTGGGCACCAATCCACAAATTGGATAGTGCGCTTTGTCTTGATGGTAGCAATAGCCGCATTGACATCTTTTGGGACCACATCCCCCCTGTACAACATGCAGCAGGCCATGTATTTGCCATGGCGAGGGTCACACTTGACCATCTGATTGGCTGGCTCGAAGCAAGCATTGGTGATCTCTGCCACTGACAGCTGCTCATGGTATGCCTTCTCAGCTGAGATGACTGGGGCATAGGTTGCCAGTGGGAAGTGGATGCGAGGGTATGGCACCAGGTTGGTCTGGAATTCTGTTAAGTCCACATTCAGGGCCCCATCAAACCTCAGGGAGGCTGTGATGGATGACACGATCTGCCCAATCAGTCGATTGAGGTTGGTATATGTGGGACGTTCAATATCCAGGTTGCGTCGACAGATGTCATAGATGGCTTCATTATCCACCATGAAAGCACAATCCGAGTGTTCCAGCGTTGTGTGTGTGGTCAAGATGGAGTTGTAGGGCTCCACAACGGCTGTGGAAACCTGGGGGGCTGGGTAAATGGCAAATTCCAGCTTGGACTTTTTGCCATAGTCCACTGAAAGCCGTTCCATAAGTAGAGATGCAAACCCAGACCCTGTGCCGCCTCCAAAGCTGTGGAAGATGAGGAAGCCCTGCAGTCCTGTGCACAGATCTGCCTGTTGAAAAATCAGAGGATGTAAGCCGATGCCTACAAAGCCACGCCCCCAACCTCCAAGCCCCACATTCAAGACTTCCATTTCTGTAAACTGATGCCAATTCAGACTGTCTACAACATGCACACTGCACTTTGACATAATGGCCTATGAATGCATCTCAGCCAAGGCTGTTTAGTAAGGTATTTTGTTAAACTCCTGATAGATTCCTCATTCTAACAGATTTGTCAAAAATGACTGGGTTTGATAGTTTTATGTCAATTTGACATGAGATAAAGTCGTCTGAGAGCAGGGAGCCTCAATTAAGAAAATACCTTCATAAGATAAGGCTACAGGCAAGTCTTTAGGACATTTTCTTACTGACTGGGGAGGGTCCACACCATTGTGGGTGGTGCTATCCCTGGGCTGGTAGGTCTGGGGTTTATAAGAAAGCAGGCTGAGCAAGCCAGTAAGCAGCACCCTCCATGGCCCTCTGATTAGCGCCTACCTCCAGGTTCCTGTTCCTGCCCTCACTTCCTTTGATGAACAGCAATGTGGAAGTGTAAGCCAAATAAACCCTTTCTTCCCCCAGATGCACCGGTCATGGTGTTTTATCACAGGAAGACAATGACACCCCCACCACCTATGCCGACTCTCTGGACCAAGACAACCACATGAAGCCTCCTCTGCAATCCTCTTACTAGTTTTCGGATACGGTCCAGAACCAGGTCGACAATCTCCTTGCCAATGGTGTAATGACCTCTGGCATAATTATTGGCCGCATCCTCCTTCCCAGTAATCAGCTGCTCTGGGTGGAAAAGTTGCCTGTAGGTTCCGGTACGAACTTCATCTAGAGAGACCATATATCCTGTGAGTCTTTTAGGCAAAGGACATTCAATTCCACTGTACACGTGTGTCAACAGCGTCTCCTCGTTTTTGGTTATAGATAAACTACATACAACCCTTTCAGTTTCTCACCCGACAGTCACAAGCACATGCTTGTATAGCTTGTCTACTCTGCAGAGATTTCAGTGGCTTTTCCTGACACTCCCACTCTCCCAGGAGAGCCTCCACCCAGAGCCCAGGCACCTACCGACCACAGTGGGCTCCAGGTCCACAAACACTGCTCTGGGCACGTGCTTGCCAGCTCCGGTTTCACTGAAGAATGTGTTGAATGAATCGTCCCCGCCACCAATGGTTTTGTCGCTTGGCATCTGCCCGTCAGGCTGAATACCATGTTCAAGGCAGTACAGTTCCCAGCAGGCATTGCCAATCTGGACACCTGCCTGCCCCACGTGGATAGAGATACACTCTCGCTGGAATCCAGAACAGACATGACATTCATTCAACGGAAATGGACATACCAGCATAATTTTATGTAGTGCCACAGTGTCTATTTCCAAACTTTATTCACAATGAAGCTCAGGCACTCCTTTTATCGCTATTAAAACTGACTGATGGGGCTGGAGAAATGGCTCAGTGGTTAAGAGCACTGTGGATCGCTCTTCCAGAGGACTGGGGTTCAATTCCCAGCACCTACATGGCAGCTCACAACTATCTATAACTCTAAGATCTGACACCCTCACATGTAGGCACAACACCAATGCAAATAAGATAAATAAAAATAAATGCATCACAAAACTAAACAAAACACACACACACATGCTGTGGGACGGTCTGTATGTCAAATTGCTCTGATTGGTCAATAAATAAAACACTGATTGGCCAGTGGCCAGGCAGGAAGTAGGTGGGAGAAGGATAGAGGAGAATTGTGGGAAGCAGAAGGCTGAGGCAGAGAGACACTGCAGCCGCCGCCATGACCAGCAGCATGTGAAGACGCCAGCAAGCCACCAGCCACGTGGCAAGGTATAGATTTATGGAAATGGATTAATTTAAGCTATAAGAAGAGTTAGCAAGAAGCCTGCCACGGCCATACAGTTTGTAAGCAATATAAGTCTCTGTGTTTACTTGGTTGGGTCTGAGCGGCTGTGGGACTGGCGGGTGACAAAGATTTGTCCTGACTGTGGGCAAGGCAGGAAAACTCTAGCTACACACACACACACACACAAAACCAAACAAATCTGAGAAAACTGAGCACCACCAGGTATGCTTGCATAGGCCCATAATCCCACTACCCAGAAGGAAAGATTAAGTAGAGTTCAAGTCCAACCCTATCCCAAGACAAACACACATACACTTACACACAGATCAAACAGTGTGGTCTGCTCTAAACTTGTCCTATTTTGATATGTAGTTTCATTTTCATTGACCCTGGCTGGCCTCAAACTAGTGGCAATCCTCTTGCCTCAGCCTCTCAAGTGCTAGGCTAACAGATGAAAACAATCACACCAGGCTAACCATACTATTAAGTAGCAGTTAGCCCCAGGGCATAAATGTTTCTCACTCTTTAAAAACATGCTCAAGACTTGGAAAACCATGCAATGTCAACAATTAGCTCATTAGGGAGAGTCACAGTAACTCCCTAAAAATCTATCAGGTTTTAACTGTGACCCAACTAAAGGATAAGATATAGTCCAGTAAGGAAAAACAACGGGTCCCAGATCACCCAGCCTGGGCAGGCACTGTCTTCTATCTGCCCATCTAGATCAACCCTTTTTAATCACTCTTCATCCCATTCCGAGTACCAGGAAGTTGACTCATGTTCACAACATCTGAGCATTGCCATCCCTATGGCTTCATAACTCCTTTGTTAATATTCTTCATAGAGATACCATCCTTAGAGCAATCACTCTTCCTTTCAGGTCTAGGAACATAACACTTCCAGACATTGTTAAGTATTGAGATACTGCACTATCCTGTAGTTGTTAGTTTTTATCCTCTTTTAAAAGTCTTTGCTCTTTTGGGAGGCCACACCTAGCTCCCAAATAGACCACAGAGGCTAATTCTTAATTATAAATGCCCAGCCTTTAGCTTGGCTGGTTTCTTGCCAGCTTCTCTTAATTTATCCCGCCTACCTTTTGCCTCTGGGCTTTTTCCTTTTCTTACTTCTGTAAATCTTACTTTCACTTACTCTGTGGCTGCCTGGCCCCTAGCCTTCCTTCCTTCCTCTTTCCTGCTTTTCCTTCTAGATTTCTCCTTACATTTAGCCTCTCTGCCTGCCTAGCTATTGGTCTAGTAAAGAGCTGAATGGCCATCAGGTGTTTTAGACAGGCACAGTAACACAGCTTCACAGAGTTAAAACAAATGCAATATAAAAGAATGCAGCACATCTTTGCATTATTAAATGTTCCATAGCATAAACAAATGTAACACATCCTAAGTTCTCTACAACACCATCTGATTTTTTCCCCTTTATTTAAAAATTTTAAGGCCAGAACTGGCTATATAGCCCAGGCTGGCCTGGGAACTGAAATCTTTCTGCCTCAGCATACAGATACTAGGATTATAAGTATGTGCCACCATCATCTAACTTACAGATTTCTTTAGTTCCTCATTTATAAATTGTATGTTTGATTCTACCCAACTAACAGTTATAAATGGAATACCATTTATAACTACAGGACCTAACTTCACTTAACAACTACTTGTTCAGTTTTAAACAAGTTATCCCCACAAATATCTAGAGATCAAATGAAATTTGCAAGATGTCACATGGCATACTCTACATCAGGAGCATCCTACCTGTGGCCCATGGCCAAACGTGAACCAGGATAGCTATAAATGTGGATATAAACTTATTGAGAAAATAGTTTTTTGTAAATCATGGGTTATGGAGCATAATTTCACTGATAACACAGGACCTTGTGCTTGCTAAATCCCCAACCCCCAGAGGGCACTCCCCTTGAAGAGGACCAGTGTTTGGTTCCCAGGCCCACAACTGCCTGTGACTCCAGCTCCGGGGTCTTCAATGCCCTCTTCTGGCCTCTCTGGGAGACTGCACTCACGAACACATACCTCTCACAGGCATACACGCACAATTTCAATCAAAGAAAAAAAATGCTTAGTTCTTAGTTTTATTTATTTTTTTCATTAGTTCTTGTAGCCGGCCTCAAATCTGCTCAGGCTAGTCTTGAAATCTAATCTTCCTGCCTCAGCCCACCTCGCACTTGAGATTAGGCATGCCACAGCACACACCTCAGATTTACTTTCTAATGTGAACAAACTATCCTACGGAACCACAGAACATAAAAAAACAGCCGTCGCCACAAACCAAGAAGTTCTTTGGGAAGCTGGGTGAAGCTGGTGGCAAACTCTTGCGACCCCACACGGGGGAGGCAGAGGGCGGGCCTACCAGGTCAAGGGCATCTCCCGAGAGACAACAGCTCAAGACCACCACAACACGGGCTAGGAGACTGTCTTAAAATTCCAAACAACGGCTCTTTGGGCTCAGTAACTTTCACTTTCCTATGGCGAACATTAGGCCAGAAAGCTTGGTAGCTTCTAGAATATTCCGGAACGAATGCCGCAGTTGTCCTCTCAGTCAAGGGCACTGGTACCAGAAACCAAAACAAAATCCCTCTCCCCAAACCAATCTGCTACCCTCTTTGGTTGTATTTTTTTGAGACAGAAGTCCTAGGAGCCTGGGACTCCAGACGGGAACTTCATCCCACCGTCCTGGATCTTCACAGCGAGCTGGGGCGCGGCGCATCTGGCTCGCACTGGCTCGCACTCGCGTTGTGAGGAGCCAGGAGGAGCCTGCGGCCTCCGGGGCTGCTATGCTATGCCTTCGCTCGCCCTTGCAGGAGCCTGGGCTGTGAGGAAGCCCCAGACTCCGAGGGGCCGGCGGTCTCCGTGCCGTGGGGCCGGCCCACCCTCAGAGGCCCCGCCGCCCCGGCCCGGGCCCCCTCTCACCATCCTGAACTCCGCAGACCAGCTCAGCCGCCGGCTCAGCCGTTCCTCAGCACCGGTCCTCAACCGCCTCTCGCCAGCCTCTTGTCTGCGCGCTCAACGGTCCAGGCCGGATGCGGATGCGGGTGCGTGGGGGCTCATTGGCCCAGCGCGCCGCAGGGGGCGGGACTAGGCCCCACGTCCCACCTATGATTGGATGCGGGCTCGATTTGCAGGGCTAGCACTCTCTGATTGGACGGGGCTTTGGCGGGAAGGCTCTGGAGTGGCTGGAGGGGCACGAGCGAGCGTCTGGAGATCGGGGCCGTCTGCGGACATGTCGGGTGGAGCCGTGCACGCTCGGCGTCCCTCGGTCCTGCCCTGCCTCCGCTCACCTCTCCTCACCGCCTTCCCTCACCCGGAGCAGAAGAGCTCCTGAGCGGCGCCAGGCAGGCCGCCAGGTCGCGCTTCTTCAGGGAGACGTGAGTTTCTGGCACCTGTCGAGTCCTGCGTCAGGACCCAGCGCCCTCCTGGAAGTCTGTGCCAACAGTCACCTATTCCGACATTATTTTCTGAGGGAGAGGGTGTTGAAAGCCTTTGGCTATGCAGCGCGGGGGGCCTCGGAGTCTTTGTAGCCCAGGCTGGCACAAATTGAAGCGCCTCAGAGCTGGCTGTAGATAGGCACAGTGCGCCGCGGGGATCAGACCTCCCTTCAATCTGCAATTTTGGGGAAACACAATTTAGTCACCTTTATTTCCTCAGGATATCTAACTGCATGTAACTGAATTGTAGGTTGTGTCATGCTGTGCCTTTTTTTTTTTTTTTTTTTTTTTAAATTTGGCATGGTCTTATGTATCCCACCTTGGTCTTGACTGTCCCTGTAACCAAGAATGGATTTGAACTTCTGATCCTCTGATCTCTACCCTCTGAGTGCCGGGATTGCAGGCATGCATTTCAAACCCAGCATTAGAGTGACAAGGGGTAGTGTGTGTGTGTGTATGTGTGTGTGTGTGTGTATGTGTGTGTGTGTGTGTGTGTGTGT